CTCAGAGTAAATAAAATTATTAAATGGAAATTTATATTAATATTTACCCAGAGGCAGAGCTCATCTTTGAAGTTAATAGTTTTCTGTCTCAAGTGGTGTTAACAATCAGATACCAAATAGTATTAGGAGGCACAAATGAGTACTTTTATTTGTCTCCAGACCATTGGTACCTAACGTAGATTACACAAATATAAACATAAAGCTTAGCAATCATTAAAACTGGGTTTGAGATGTTGCACTTGCTTCAAAATCTCCCTGATCATTTCTCTATTGCTTAGGTACTGGCTTATTTCAGTGTTTGTGTATCGAAATGTTTTCTGGAAGGAAGAGAAGCTGTGAATTTTAAACGAAGCTCTAATTAGTGTGGTTAAACAGTGGCAAAGTCCAAGGAGTTGCCTTATTAGAGGTGAACCCTAAATGAGATCCCACTGTTTAGGTAACTTGCCCAACTTAAACCATTTTCTGTCTGTCTGGGTCATTCTGTTGTTCTTCTAGTAAAACAACTGGTATCACTTGTGAAATTTAGATCCTGAAGGGGACCCATTTCTCGGCTTTTTATTTGTGGCTTAGGTTTAAATTCTTCTGTGCTCTTGGGAAAACTAGTTGGTCCCGTTTTCCAAAAAGAGCCGACACCTTCAGAGGTTGTCCACGTATTTTGAAGCCTCTTCTTTTCTTTCACGTTGATTTTTCCTTTGAACATTTGCTAGTTTGGAGATGTGCATTCAGATAAATTCTCTAGACCAGGTGCCTGCCCAGGTGATGCACTTTCTCTTTACGAGGCTGGGGTAGCACTGTCTGCCCTGTGGGAAGAACTGGATGATGTTTTTATCCCTTTCCTTTGATTATTTGTGATGAAGAGCTCAGCCCAGCTTCATCTCGTACGTAATGTTGGCATGTGTGCTTCGTGCTGCCTGTTTCTCCTAATGCATTCTGCTCTGGTGTGTGCATTTTGATTTAATCTTCCAAATATTTTTCTGAAACGTGTCATTCACATCTGCCAGCCATGCCTTGCAAATACAGGACTCCTCCAGTTTTGATGGTTAGTGATTTAATTTTAGAAGTTTTAACAGTTCTGCCTCCTTTGCTTGAAGATACTTAAAAATTACATTAAATTTGCCTGTTTTCCTCTGAGATTTCAGCTGCAGTAAATGTCACTGTATGATGTGATATAGGCAACTTTAATTTGCGTCTTAAGAAGAACAGTGTTTGACACGTACTTAGACTGGAGGCTGAGAGATTTGGGGTGAACTTAGTCATCTTTTTCCTTTGAAGAGCTCTTATCATCCTTACCCAAACTGGTGATGGCTTTAGATTTGCCCAAGATTTGCAGTTCTGTGGGCTAATGAGGCTTACACAGGATGACAGCAGAGGGAGAGCGTGGAAACCTGGAATTGTTCTCGGCTGGAGGGCCTGTAGGAGACCAGATCATCCGAATCAGGGGGTGGTGGTGGTGTAGGTGATGTGCATCCCTGGCAGCTGGAGCCCTTGGACACTTGCAGAGTGTCTGATGTCACCCACATTTCTAAAACCAGAGGCAGGAATATCCCTACGGGACACTTGGTGTAGGGAGCAGGGGAAGTAGCACGGGTATGGACTATTTCAAGCTGGTATAGAGAAACAATAAATTAGATGTTATTGTGCATTTCTTAGTCAGCTCAGTCCTGACACTGATCAGATATGCTCTGAAGGCACTTCTGCCGTAAGCAAAATAGGGAAAATCCAAGTGGGGCGAATTTTTATTTACACAGAAGTACAAGGAACGACATATGTGGGTACATGAGCAAGAAACTTAATGTATATTGACTTCAACCCTGTTTTGAATTTCTACTTTCTAGTAATTTCCCAAAGAAAAAGTTGATTTTTTACTGGCTTATGACATTAGAAAAAAACGCTAGTATCCAACCAAAGGCATATTTTTTTGTGATATTTGTACTTTTGTGTGCAAATATGAGAGCCTAACTTTTTTTTAGGTATGGTTTATCTGATTCAGTACGTTTACTCTGATCAGTTTTATAAGTCTGTACATATGAAAACTCATGTATTTCTAATTAGGTAGTTAACTTAGAATTAAGATTTATTTGACCTCTGGTTTGAGTAGAAATTCGTAATTAATTGGAAAAAAACCCCAAACCTCAAAATGACTTCTTATAGTTAGCTCAGCCCAAGGAATTATAAGGAACTAAATTACATGCATTAAAAAGGTTCAACAAGGCATCTTTTGAACACAGCTCCCCTTGTAAGCAGGGAAAGTATTCATCATTCAGTACATCAGTATTGGTTTTTAATCATAGATTGAAGGAGAAGAAAACATTTCCTTATTCCCTATAAATGATCAGGCTGTTAAAATGAACTACACAAACCAAAATAAAGACAGAGTTTTCCCTGCAGCCCTGGAAGAGATGATTGCTGTCAAAAGCTGCTTTCAGCACCTCAGTATACCCTGTTTTCAGGCCTTCTTCTGGTGACAAAATTCCATGAGACTTTTCAATGGAGTCCTCCCTGGTAGCAAACATGACCTGGCTCAACATTTATTTATTTATTTATTCTACTACTTTATACTGAGCAGAGGCCTTAACATCTGCTGGTCTCCCTTCAAAGGTAGTACTAAATAGGGGGGTTAATTGTACGTTGTTTTTAAATAACATTTTGTGTATTTTAATCCGCTGTTTTGATATGAATCCTTATGAAAGGCAATGCTTTGGAGTAACTGTGGCTTATTTTGAGGGTTGAATCAGGTTTCCCAGTTAAGTGTGCTAGATTTCAGTCACATGTGTTTATTCAAAACAAAACTTCAGAGCAAATTAGAAACTGTGACAGAGTAAACTAAACACCAGTGATTGTTATGGAGACCTTTAAAGCTTTTTGGCCTTTTTTGCACCAGTGAGAAAAGTGAGAATATCAAGCTCCCTTGCAGAATTTCAGTTGTCTGTGGATTTTCATCAACTATTCAAAGCATTTTTGTTACTCTAGTACGAAGTGCACAGCTAAGCTAACCTGGCACCTGGCTGTCTGCAGGACAGGTGGCCTCACTTGTATTTTCCCTTCTGCTGGTTGAAGCAGATTCACTGGCCAAAACAAGCCAAAAATCCCTAATCCTACAGAAAAGCCTGTTTAGAAATCAAATGATAGCTAGCGCTGGTGGAGCCAATAAAGGAGGAGTGCTCTTTTTGGTGGCCATCATCTGGGACAGTGCTTACCTGTGATGTAGAACTGCCCTGCCTTCAGCAGTTGTGCCTGCTCTCCTTCCCTAAAGCCCTGAGTGAACCTGATTAGTTAGTAAATCACAGTGTATTCTGTGCTGTTAAGTGTTAAATAGTTGGAGAGACACGATTTGAAATGGATTAATTCACAGTTGTTGCCAAGATATTTGAAGGAAATAAGAACTACTTAGATCTCTTTGTTGCAGGGAGGGGAACTGAATATGGAGTGACAGTCTGGTTAGAGGTCATATTCTCATTTATTTCTTTGAAGAGCACGTGCAAACATCAAGGTTAAGGTCATTACAGTATTGTCATGTTCTCACCCCTTTAATTCCTGGGTCTTAAAAATAAAATCCACGAAGGTGAAACAAGAACCTGGGTGGGGAGTAGACGCTGGGGTTAATTTGAACTTGAACAGGTTGAGGCAACCCATCATTCTGTCATTATCATAAGATTAATTTGCTTTCTGCAGTGGAATGAGCAGAAACCTTTATTAAATTCTGCTATAAGAATTCTGTGTAGAGCTGCGTGGACTCTGAGCTGTGGAATGACAGAAGTGTAGCACCTGCAGGGAGAAGGAGTGACCTGTCGCAGCACGTACATCCTTCTTGTAGCCGCGCAGGGATTGGAATAAGGGGCTTATCACGGAGAAACTGCATGCACAGGGAAAGCCTGACGTCTGGCACATACGCCCAGAGATTTTTAATGTGTGTGAAGGGGTTGCCTTCGTGATGAAAAGGGAGAGTCGTGAGTCTCGGTGAAAAAAAAACGTGATCGAAAAAGCTTCGTTTCTTCACTCACCCCTCCCAGCAAATTGCCTGAAAGAGGATCATACACAGTGGTGCATCATTCCTTTTATCTGCTGGTATGACTCACTGAGCCATACATAGCAGCTTGTCTTTTGAGGAGATTTCTTACTCAGGGAAAGCTGGATGTGGAAACAAATATTCAGCGTCAGATTGTTAACGTCACTTTTGCATTAGAATTCTAATTAGAATTAGAATTTCGTGAGAGATAAAAATGGCTTGGCCAGCAATGCCTGTGTTAAGCAGGTATTATGAAGTCAAAAATCCTCATTAGTTTTCTCCCGATTCAGTGCCGTTATTTTTATAGTATTCACATATTTTTTGGGCAACAAGAATGTTTGTTGATTGCATTAGCAAGTTCTTGGATATTTTAATATTTGGATTGCTGGTAATGCAGGGTACCACGTGGCTTTTGCAACATGCTTTAGGCCTTTTTTTACTCTGTGTTTTTAAAATCTTTTTCCCTTTTCTGCCCAATCATGACCTAAATAAATTCTCTGGCATTTCTTTCTATTCATTTTTAGCTGTAGAGAAACTGATTGTGACATCCAAGTATGGGCTTGTAGCATTGATTCCCTTTAAAATTTAAGATCCTTTTGGAAAAATTGGCTTTCTGGAATATCCACAGCATCCTCCCTCTGTATTTTGCATTAATTCAGTACCTGAGAGGTATTTCCTTGCCAAGAAAGCCTCTCTTTAGGGTTTCAGTGATTGCTGCTGGACCAGCCTGTCCGTCCTTATCCCCACATGAACTCCACCCTGGGGATCCAGAGCTCTGTTTTTCTGGTGCTGTTGCCAGCGGCACTTTTGTTCCATGTTGGCTGCTGGAGTAAAGCACTTTGCTGTTTGTTTATGTTGCATGTTTGTTGACTCAGCTTTCAAGATTTTTAAGTATCCCACAGGAAACCGAGAGTGCTTCCTCGCGTTTTGTGACGCTGGTAACGTATTAATGAAGCTGTGTTGGTAAAAGAAATATCCCTGTGTTCTATTACAGGTTTTGGGATTTGAAGTTGATACGGTGAACTCTGTCCAGTTTTCGAACCACACAGGTAAAATTTTACAGATACTACTCCACAGTCACTCAGCTCTGCTCAACACGTGGCTCACCTCATCCCATGGCACTGGAGAGGAGATTGGCCTCACGTTTTCGCTCCCATTGTCACGATACACAACAGAAATGTGATTTTCTTGTTTTGGTTAAAGTCTCTCTGAAGACTGGATTTGGGAATGGGGCTTGATACGAGGTGGTGATGTCCTGCTTTACCGTTCAGAGTGTGAGTTTCTCTTTGTTAGGCAGTTATCTAATTAACTCAGGCAGTGAAATAACACAAATAAGGGCATTTCCACAGCCAGGCCTGTGAATGAGGGAGTCTTCAGAATGATTTTCTGTGCATTATGGCTCTATGACACTCATAATCACATTACCAACCCAAACATCAGAGAATACTGAGCTAGACTCAATGTTTCTTATCTTTAGGTGCCTACCCAAATGGCTAGCAAGTATCCTAAAATTACGTTTTTTAGGGAGGAAGAGTGTTAATACATTTGGGTGTATTTTTATTTTATTTTTTTTATATGATGCACTCACATAATACTTTCAGACTTACTGATACTCAATGTGCTAGAGAACTTTTATCTTTTGACAGAAAGCGGGAATTTATGTTTATTTTAGCAATACCTTTCACCCAGAAAGGAGCTCCAAGTGACTGGCTGTTTCTGGATCAAAAGAGACACATTTACTGTCTTGGTGGGGATGAGTTGTTTGAGGGGAGATCTGCTCTAGATAAAGAAATTCCACAGGTGTCTCAAGAAGCACATCCGACTTTAACATCTTGAAAAAGAGCAAAACTTGTTTCTGACCAAAAAAGCTCCCTCAAAAACTAAAAAACCCAAACAACCAAAAAACCCCCACAAATGTTGAGGTACTTTCCTAGTATCTCACAGGAATAGCTGTATTAATAAACTGCTCATTTTTGGAAAAGAGAGCAGACAAGGAAGCCTCTGTCTTCTTTCATTGTGTTGAGCTCCATGCAGCTTTCAATAGATTATAAGATGCCTCCCATGGAAGGCATTTAGTGTCAACCTGGGAAGAAGAAATTGTTTCAAAGGTAGCTTGAAAGCCATCTCTTCTTGTTAAAGAAAGGCACGAGAGAGGTAATAATTAAACAAGGGGGTGGGTGCCTTTCCCGGCTCAGTCAAAAAGTTGCTTATTTTGTTTGTGCCCTTTGGCAGAGTACAAAGGTTCTGTCCTGTTTTTCAGAGGTACTCAGGTGTGACTTCCGTTCCTTTAACGTGTTTAGTCTTGGAGTTTGGGATTTTCTGTTGTTTGGTTTTGGTAGCTGGGTAAAACTCTTGTAATCTTCCAGAAATTAAGCCGTTTTTTCATGTCAAATAACTTGTCTCTTAAAGGTGCGTGAGCACATACTGTTTGTTGGCTTTCAGTTTCAAGATTAAATCAGCTTTACAGGGCACTAAAAGAGCTTAGAAGAAGTTTTACTGACCATAAAATGAAGGTAGGAAAATTGCATTACCGACAGGATGAGCAGGTTCTTAAAACAGAAGAGAAAGACAATTTTTAACCTTTTTTTTATAGTATCACAGCTGGAGAAAGGTTACCAGTGTTTCATTTATGGTTTGGCAGACAGTGGAGACAGTAGAAGGGTAGTAGATAGAAGTGGATAGTAGAAGGGTCTTCCCCCCCAGAAGAAGACCTAAATGAACATCCCAAACCCAAAAATGTCTCTAAGGTCACAAGTCTGTAAACTGTAAACACCAGGAACTACTCCTGGTGTTTAGGAGTGACATTATTTCTGGTTTTTTTCCCTATAATCTTGATTGTCTTAGAAAATGTGTTTAAAAACATCCCAAAGGTTGCCACATGATCCCATGGCAAACTTTGGGAAGCAGAACTTGTGTCTGCAGAGGTGCTGCAATACAAAAGCATGGTGTGCTGGATGAATGGGTGAAGGTAACTTGATTTTCCTATAAAAACAAAATCTTACATGAGAACCCTTTCTGACATCGTGATTAAAGCTGAAGGACGAATTCCTCCTTCAAAATCTGGCTTTGAACTTTGGTTTCTGAAAGAGTGCCACATACCAGAGGAGCACAGGTAGAAAAGTGTGTAAGGTTTTGGACATATTGTTCTTTCTTTCTTTCTTTCTTTCCCTGTTTTTAAACTTGGTCCTGGCAGCAAAAGATAAAATGCAGAGAGAATTTATGACTAACAGACTTTCTTGGGTGAATCATTATTGCTCTTTTTTTGCCGTCTTTAAATAAGTAAGATACCACGGGCAACTTTCTGCTGACTCTTGCTCAGAAAATTCAGCTTTCTTTAGTCTCTGATAATCCTGAAATTTGGAAAATGTGCTTTAAATCAGTCCCCCTGGGAGAACAGTTTGTCATGTTGCTTCGTGAGGAACTTTTGTGATTAGAGTGACTCACACTTGAATGGCGTCATGCTTCATGTACAAATAAAAGAAGCTGTCATGCAGCCTACAAAGACTGTGCTTTTTATTGTATTTTACTGTACTATTTGTGGAAGCATCTCATTCTCTGGTGTGCAAAAATTAAAATCTAGAATTTTTATTGTTTTTAATTCTATTGTTGATATTTTGGGGTGCATTTTTAATTCCTCAGGGATTTTCATTTTTGTTTTGCAGTGGGAGATTACTGGCAAGCATATAATGTTCTTACTGTGCTATCCAAATCCTACCTTTGAAACTGCTCTGGAACAAAGAGCCCGGTTGTTGTTTTGTTTTTTTTTTTTTTCTGTTCCTTTTCATTTCCAAGCACTTTTGACTTCCACTCAGTGGGTGTGTAGTGGGTGGCTGGGTTGGCTGGCAGGTCTAATACGTGATAAATTATAATTATGTCTTGCTGTGATTCCTCACAGTCTGCCACCCATATGCAGTCACTCACACCTGTGTGTGCAGGGGCGAAAAGAAAAGATCTCCACTCATGCCTAACACTGGTAGTATTTTTACTCCCACACTGACCAGCTGTAAAAAAAAAAAAATCCAGTGGGGAATTTGGTACTGTGTTTCTGGTTTTGTTGAAGGCCTCCTGGTAGCTGAAGATTAGTCCTGCGTTTAGACCAGGCTGTCTGACGGAGTTCACGTGTGAATTTTGTGACGCTGCTGGAACCAGACTGCCTGTCCACCACGTGCCATGAACACTAGATCTTTCTTCCTTTTTCCCACGTGAAATACTTGGTTAGTGAAGCCACTTGGAATAGTTTTTTGCAGGGAGCACCACAGGAGGAACTCAAAACCTCAGAACAGAGTGTTCTGGGCTAGAAAACAAAGAAATCTTACACGCCTTGCTGTACTGAAATGGTAGCTTATTTTTTTTGGTTTGCTGTGTGTGTTGGTTGGGGGTTTTTTTTGTCCCTTCTGATATGCTTGGGACTTTTATTTTCTTTCTTCCTTGTTTTTGAAAGTAATTAAGAGGATTATAAACACATTCCAAAGGAGAAAAAAAGTACCAGTGGAGGAAGGCAAGACAAAAAAGTGTGTAAATTTATCTTGGGTGTAGTATTAGCTGCCTCTCTTGGTTGTGGTTTTGTTAATTTTTTTTTTTCTTTTTCATACAGATGAACCAAGATATTTCCCTGGAGATTGATGATTACATTTGTCTTTTTAGAGGGATAAGTGACATGAGTCATCATATTTTACTTGTTTTTCATTCCCTTATCTGCTAAAATCAAATAGATAATTGCAATAAAAGGTCATAAACAGATAAGCAGAAGGGGTATGAAGTTGTTTAAATGCTCATGCTCTTCTGTATGTTTAAAATTATTTACAAATCTGGGAGACTAATACAGTTAGTCTGAGCCAAGTGATCTTTTGGAGAGCTGGATCATGATTTGCAATGTTCTCTCTGTTTTCTCAGTCCAGCACTGAGGGGAATTATTTGGTGGTTTTGTAGCTAAAACAAGGAAGACTCAAGGAAAGACCCCTTTCAAGATAGTCCCTCCTCCTGGGACCCCAATTTATCCATCCTGCAGTTAGTGAAACACTTTTTGAACATGAGTTACTGGCTTTTTCTTCTGTCCCTCTACAGAAGCTGATTTTTGGTTGTATATTCCAGCAGGAGAGCACTATAAATGCAGGGTCACGGGGTTTGCACCTTGTTGATCATGTTACAATGAAATTACTCCGGGGGAAAGGGCTCAGGGTGATTTTCATTTTGCTGCCAATTTTGATTTTGTTTGTTTCTTCTTACTCCAGCATAATTCTATTCCTGATGAAGTCACATTCTCTGCAGATCCAGTGAAGGCATTCACCCTTTTTTTTTTTCTGTCTGAATAGCAGGGGCTTCCCTGAGAACTTCCCTAGGGTTTTGTTTTTCCTCTGGCTGTTGTGTGATTAGATTGTATTACACCTTACCAGGTAGTAAAAATGCTCCTTCTGTTTCCTTTGGGAGTCATTGCTACCGAGTTCAATCTCCCTGCCCCGTGTGGGTGAGTTACCAATTCCTGAGCTAAGCTGGGCTGCTGCCTTATATTGTGTTTCCATATTTATTTCCCCCCCTCAGTGGAGGGCTCAGTGTGACATGGACCCTGTGCTTTGAGCATTTAAGGCAGCTTGGTACAGACAGCTTGACACAGCCAGGTGAACTCTTAGTTAAATGGTGAATTTTAGGGGTGCCTCCTGAGAGTATCTAAATTGCCTGGGCAGTCTATCATATTTATATTTTATGGGCAAGTGTGAGACAAAAATCTGCACTTTTGCCAGCAGATCTTGCTTCTGGGTGAAAGGTGCACCCAGTTTTACTGATGGCCACAATGGAAGGGCTTCTGTTGTGTCCCTGTACCGGCTTTGCAGTGCTACAAGAGACTCAGTGAAGAAGAGAGGACAGATTGTTTCTCTCTGGCACTGCAGATGTGACAGAACAAACATCTGCATATGTGTTAATTAACCAGATACTGGGGTTAGGTGTAGTCAAGGGTTCCTCGTACACTCAGGGTGCATGAAGAACTAGAGGTGTGCTTCAGTGTTAGCTGTTGCGATTTTGAATATCACTGTCCTCTGCAGCAAAACCACAGCCCTGACACGTGGAAATCCCTCACTTTGTCCATTTTTTCCCAGAGACTTTGTGGAAGGCTTTTGCCTGGGACGGGGTGGTGGTGGCTGATGTGAGTCAGGCCCCCAGCCAGCTGGCAGCAAGTCGTGCTTGAGAGGCTTTGGCCTTTGTGAGCTGAGGAGAACAAAATGATCCATCTGCTCACCATACTGTGGGTGTATTTGCATTCATAAGAAGGAAAAACTGAAAAATGTGCTTAGACTAAGCTCCAGGCACCTTTTGGCAGTTACTCTAATAACACAGTTTAGAGCGATAATCAAAGCCAACAGTTTTTATCACAGAATTTCCTAACTGCAAGAGCAGAAGTTATCACACAGGGGTGGTGTGGAACAAGATACACCATTTCACATTTCACTTTTCTTAATACCAGTTAATAAAAAGATAATCTTTTTAACAACCTCTGGTTTTATGGAGGTTGGAAGAGTTAAATTGTGGGTGCTTCATCTAAAATCCTGGAGGAAGCCCCGTTCTTACACACAGGGAAGGGATTGGTGCCATCCAAATGGGCAGCAGACTTTGACGACAAGGTGCAAGGGGTATTTACATTTTTCAACAAATATTCAGATTCTGTTACAGGAAATGATGTTTCTTTTCCTTGAAATTGGCTTCCATGGAGCTTGGTCCACTGTTCACTGAAATCATTTCAGCTTCTCCCAAGTAACTTAACATTCCATCCACTTTCTGAGCTGAGAATATTGCCTTGTATTTCTTAGAGATCATTCAAGGATAAGAGCGTATGGATATTATTTGTCTGTTTATAGTGTCTTTCTGCTACTCATTTCCTCCTCCAGGATTCTCAGTACTAGAGCTGTGCTATTTTTGGAAGAGAATCTGTCAGATGACATTGTGTGTTTAAAGAGCATCCGTGACAGCGTTCTGCCGTGGTCACTCTGTTTGTTACATGCAGGTCCCAGCGAGCACCACATCTGATGGGGTGCAGCAGTGCTGCACGTCCCTGTACAGACAGATCCACGAGCCTGTTAAGCTTGTCATCTAACTGTCATTTTTTTTCTTTTTTAATATCGTATAAAATAACAAAGATGTGTTAGGCTGACACCCTCCTCCAGGAAAGGGGTAGTTGCAAAGGCTCTGTGGGAAATCTTGCAGGAGCCTGTGTGCTCTCAGCTTGATTTGCTGGTAAATGGACAGTCTCAAATTGCAGTGTAGTCATTCTTTGGGAGACAGAAGTGCTAAGAAGAAGCTGAGCACATCAACTGTTCTGCTGACAGCAGCTTTCATTCGGCAGCAGAGTTTTACGGAAGAGGTGGAAATGCTTTTTGGTGCTGATAATTGATGTGGTCCCTGCAAGTGTGTAATGTGTGATCTGAAACAGAAAATCCATCTCTTGAGAAAAATTATCTGGCACTTGCTTTGCAGGTTATGCCCACTGGAAGGGTCAGGTGCTGAATTCAGACGAACTTCATGAACTGTATGAAGGACTGAAGCTGAACAAGGTCAACCGCTATGATTATGTACTCACAGGTAAGATGAGCTTGTTCCTTGGAGTTCTCATGAGATATAAACAGAACTAAAGAAAGATAAACCGTATCCCTCCTTATTGCAAACCAAACAATTAAAATTTCCCTCCTTTGATTCCTCCTGCAATTTCACCTGTATATTATAGTCTCAGCCGCTCGTGCTGTTGAATTTGGAGCAGCCAGAGCTCTCCAGCCTGAAGGTTGTAACTGGGTGGGTAAATTGATCCCCTTGTGTAATTTACAGACTTGTACAGGCCAGTCATGTACAGGCATACTTAATGTTTTGGGAGTGCCTCTCCTGGGAAAAAGGATGAGGAATGTCAGAGTGTTATTTTAAAATCTGTGAGGAAGACACGAGTTTAACCCTTTCTCCTAAATCTGCAGCACTGGCACTCCGTGGTACTGCAGCGTGATTTTATACACAGTTGTATGTCCTTGATTTTTTCTTTTTTTGCTTGATCTTTAAGGTGTAGTGCTTGGACACAGAGCAAAGTATCAGCAGGGTTGGATTTTGGGTTTGACTCTGTCATATTTGTCTTGATTTTGTGCTCTTGTTACTCTTGTAGGTCATCCGAGTGAATACAGTTCTGCAGTGTTTTCCTTTGCTAGCACTAAGTACCAAGTGTTTATAAATACAGGCAAAGAGAACTTCTTGTAAAATACTTTCTAGAAATGAGAGATTCTATGTGGAGTTTTTATTAAAGATTGCTTCTCGTCCAATTCCTGCTTCTCAAGAGTAGGTTACTGATCAGGTTTCACCTCAGTAGACTGAGTTGTGCATCTGGTTTAGATTACAGTATCAATTTTTTTATAGCAGTGAACAGTCACTTTTTAAAGTTAAGCAGAAATATATAACCAGATTGAATTGATTTCATGGCTTCCACACGTAGGGAAGTTCTTTATACACAGGGAAAATTGGAAACTTTAAGTATATGGATTGTAACTCCACATCAATCATTCTGGCTTGAAGGGTGTGGCATGTCTGAAGAGTTATTGTCAGGGCTTTTTCAAGGAATATCTCTAAAATAAAGGAGACTAAATAGAAAGTAGATTGAACTAAGGTTAAGAAATTAATTTTGGCATAAATGAATTCTTTGTGATTGAGGAATAGATCAACACCTTTCTTTCCTGGAAAGAACTCACACATTTCCAGGAAGAACACACTGTATTGCAGGAATTTTCAGGAGATGTTAGCATCCAAAAATTCTAAATAATGTTTGAATATTCTGTTAGCCGAAATGTTCCTTTTTTATTTTACTTCCAACGCTTGGAAGAGAACTCTACACCCTTTCTATCATGGTCTTGTACTGGCAAAATGGATTTAAGAGATTAAAAGTGGGAAGATGGAAATCTTTAGCAAAAAGAAAATTCAGAGAAAAAGGGAATCTTTATTAACATGCCTTTTAAAATAAGACTTGTGTTGTTCAAGTTTGTTTTAAAAATCTCATTGGCTGTAGACATTTTCAACATGGACAAAAAGAAGGAGTGGGTAGAAATTTCAGTAATTTCTTAATATCCCGTAATGCTTCCAGGGTTTTATTCTTCAGCTGCACTGAGACTGAACTTAAAACTCAGGTTTTTTTCACTCAGGGCCAAAAGTCATATTTTTCTCTTCAAACAGGAACAGCCATTCACCATAGTGCACAACTACCTTGTACCTCCAACAACCTGGATATGATTATTTACACTGAAAACAAATTAATTTCTCCACAGAGAGGATTTTATTGTTAATTGTATGTCTGATGACTGTAGATATCTTGGCTGAGATGGAAATTATTGTCTTTAGGCCCATTACACAAAGTAACACTCTGTTAACTTTTGTGACTGTTGTTATTTGTAGATCTTGATATATTTGTTTCATTTACAGTAAAAGACTCAAGATAAGACATAAACTCCAATTCAGTGTAATTGTTTTAAACACCTCTGTCAATAATGTTAACCCAGCTGTGTATTTTTTTTTTCAGCCATTCTATAACAAAAATCTTTGCTTGGCTCTTTTTCCTGATTATCAGCATTTCATAGATGTAAGACAAAGCATTTTGACCTAAAATCTGGGAAGCTTTTTCCATTTCTCTGCAACATCTAAGAATTGATCAATTTTGTGAGTTAAAAAAAAAATAAAAAATCTCCAAAATGTACTTTTAAATATTTTAGTAGAGTGGACATTTCCAAGCTGAAGGTTTGAAGATGGTACCTGGCTAAAAATAATAGTATTAAATAAAATAAATTAAAATAAAATTTTTAATTAATGAGTGTTGCAAATGAAGTTAATATAAAAATTAAGAAACATCCCTAAAATAAAGAAATTAATGTGTAAATGAGAATATTGTGATTAAGGCCTTAAAATATAGTAAAATTTATTTTCAGCTTTTTTTAACTGCTAGGTCTAAAGCATAGGAATTTTATTGGTACTTTGACCATTGCTCTAAAATATTCAAAATTAAATCTCCATTTCATTTATGTGTTGGACTTTATCAGCACCAACATTAATAATGATAGTAACAAAATTGCTTCAAGACAGAGTATGAGAAAAGTATATGGAAATTAAAATATTTCCTGTTTGCTGCATCATAAATAATACTTATTAGACTGCTGTTTTGATGAAAAGGAAAGGGTTTTTTCCTTTTAGCCTGACCTTTGTTTATGTAAGTTCAAGCATTTTGAAATTGCATGAGCCCTTCATATACAACATATTTAGTAAATGGATTCTTAAGGTTGTATTTGTAGTTGTCTGAATTTGTCTCCCACCTATTTTTGCTGAATGAGCTACTAAAATACCTTTATTTTAAAAATGCATTTATCCAAAGAATGAGAAGTATGCAGCATTCCTATCCAAAACTAAAAACAGAAGAATTATTCATGAAAATAGACTTAAAAAATCTCTTTCTTTTTTTTTTTTTTCCCCCAAAGGGTATACAAGAGACACATCGTTTCTTGCAATGGTGGTGGATATTGTCCAGGAGTTGAAGCAACAGAATTCCAACCTTGTATATGGTAAGGAAGTGCATTACAATCCTTTCTGCTTCATCACTGCGTGAGCATCTTCTGCTCTGATCTGGGGGCTCTCTGAGGCTCCGGGGGTGTTTAATTTCAGTGTTGAGGGAGTTGGCTTTTTATCTTTCTGATTTTATGCCTTTCAGTGTGTTTCTTGCTTTATGCTGCCCAAGGGAGAAGGGGACTCGAGGACTGACAGTGTGTATCCAAGAAAGGATAAAAATCCCAGCCAGCTGCTGCTGGTGGTAGTTCAGAGGCTGCCTGTGCTGGTCCCAGTCAGTCAAAAGCGGGATAGACTCTCCTCTGTTGCCTTTCCATGGCTTCATGTAACATCCCATAAGTGTCTTTGCCTTATAAGCATCATGATTCACCTTAAACTCCAAGGCTTTTCTTGCTCTGGTGCCTTCTGCTGCAATGTGGGAGCAACAGGCTCTAGCAGCTGTCCTTATTAACACGTTATGTCAGGCTTAAACCTGTGGGGAAAAAAAATCTCCTCTTTCCTTCCTGAATATCTTTCAGGACTTTTGAACATAACCAGTGTAGGCTTGAACTGAGCAAAACGTTTATAGAGTGACAGGGCAAAAGTCAGGGAGGATTTGGTGGGATAAAAAGCTGTGAATCAGGGGTTTTAGCTGTCATCTTCAGGTTCAGTAAACAGTGTGGTCAGGAAACGTTTGGAAAGATTGGCAGGATTTGCAGGTGTCATTTAGCAAAATGTAGCAAAGAGGTCTTCACTGGGTTTTGTTGCTTTTCAGTCTTAACACTGTTGCAGTCTCAGATTCTCCAGAGCCTTGTATGAAAACTAAGGACTGTTGGAATATGAGCAGGAAGGAACATCTCGCTGTATAGAAGAGGAAGGAAGTGGTCAGATGTCAAGATCACAGCTAGGCTTCTAAGACCCTTTATATTTAATAAATGGATTATAATGTAAGGAACATACTTTTAAAACGTAAAACAAATTAGCCTCTTTTTATTCATAGAAACTTCCTTAAACACCGATTGGATTTGTATTTCTTCTTTTATCTTGCCAAAGGCTCTTTTAATATAATGAACAATGTTCCTTTTTGAAGTACAGTGTGGCTATTTCCATCCTCTGAAACTGAGGACCCTTGGAATACATTGTTAATACTTCTGGTGATACAGAACCCATCCCAAAATTGTGTTAATATTACTGTTCCAAATATGAGTTCATGTACTTTGGCATGGATTTTCTTATTGTTTCGTTGTGATACACTTTTTATTTAGTATACGCACAGCATTTCGGTGTGTACGTTTGGCACGTATTTTTTTACACTAAAGCAGAAATGAGACTCTTTTCAGAGCTATTAGCTTCTCCCACATTTCTTCCCCACCACACTGCCATTCCAGAGTTTAGGGTTGGTGAGTGAAGGTGAGGGATCTTTGTGTTTTCCGTAACAAAAGGCCCTTTACTCCCAGCACTCAGATCCCCTCATCCTCACCATCTTCAGACATAACAACATGGAAGCAGGCAGGAGAGGGTGATCCCAAACTTGTTAACTGTTTAAGACATGGCCTCTTTAAGGAGGCCCCCTATTTAAGACTCTTTCAGGATTGGCAGCCACCAGTGACAAATTTCAGGCTGAGTGTGCTGCAAGAGCTGTGAAATTATATAAGCTATGAGGTGCTCAGTGCTGTTACCTAAAACTTTTCCCTCCAACCGGGGTCTCTACAACTGTATCCCATTTCTAAACCTAATTTTATTCTATTACAGTGTGTGATCCAGTGATGGGTGACAAATGGAATGGAGAAGGCTCTATGGTTAGTACTCATCTGTTTGGATTCTCTGTGTAGTGAATGTTTGTTTTATAAAGGTCTATAAAGATTTGTTAACTTTTAAACACCAAAACTGAGCTACTTTACCTAAGTGTGGCTTTGAATCCCAGTGAGTTTGAGCTTTAATTTCTTGTATTTGAATGAGTTTAGTATGTGGGAGGAATGACAGCTGCATAGCCCTGGGATTATTTCAGACTCTCTGCTGAGACAACAGAGGGAATACAGACCGTGCCTACAGGAAAAGATCCCCCTGCTCTCCCTCCCTGTGTCACTGGAGTTCTCCTATCTTCTGTCAGGAGCATCATTTTTGATCAAAACTAGCAAATAATTTCAGTAAAAATGCCATGAGGGAGGGTTGCAGTCCCACATCTCAGATGCTGCTCACAACATCTGACACTGTTTCTTCTTCCCTAGTATGTGCCCAAGGATCTCCTCCCAGTCTACAGGGACAAAGTTGTACCTGTTGCAGATATAATTACTCCTAACCAGTTTGAAGCTGAGTAAGTGCTTCTTTCCTTTTCTAGCCAAATAAACTTGGGGACAAAAGCAGGGAGGGCTGATACCAATTATTTTATTTGCCTCACTGTAGTGCCTCATGTATGTATGTTTTGGGGTTTGGTTTTTAGCTGTTACTTTCGAGTGGTGCTTTTCAGACAACCTCAAATGTTCCGTACTGAAACCATTAAAAAAATCTGGAAGCTATGTGAGGAAAAGATTCTTCTGGTTTTCTCCAGTCTCTCATTTTCATCATGACTTCTTGTTATCCCCAGAGGCCTGTACCTAGGACAGGTTGCACAAATTCCTTCCCCATCCCTCCCCATTACTGTGGAAATTTTAATCACATGTCAGAATATGAAAACTGAGATAGCTGGGTTCAACCCCCCAAAACTGGATTCAGAAATACCACCACATCAACATCTCATAGGAGCTAAGAATTTAAATGCCTCCTGCCTGTCCTATCTGCATAGGACTGTGACTCTTTGGTCAGGAGATAATCTGTTGTGATACATCACAGGCTGTGCCCCTGAGGGGAGGGAGCAGCTACGTGGGAGATGGAGAGAAGCCACTTGTAAGGGAATTTTTGTGGTGCAGGGATCTCTAGAGCAGGCAGGTTAGGGCTGGTGTGAGTCCACTGCAGAAGCACTGTGTGTCTGTGCACGTAACCTTCAAAGGCAGCAGTCTGGTCCAGCAGACCGTGAAGCTACAGAAGGTTTAGGCCTGTTTGGTGCAGTCCAAGCTTTCCTCCTTTCAGAGGATAAACAAAGCAGTCACTGCCTGGAGAACTTGTGCTCCTTTTAAGATTTCTGTTTCATTCTCAGGTTACTCACGGGCAGGAAGATTTACACCGAGAAAGATGCTGTAGAGGTAAGTAGGCAAAGGGTAGGATGTGTGAGATCTCTTTCTGCATTCCTGCCTGCAGTGCTGCAGTTTGCAGTTTGTCTATAACCTTGAAGTCACTTTGGCCTCCATCCTTTCTTTCTGTTTATCAATAAAGTTCATGCACTCCAGGCACAAAACATTTCCTGTTTTAGTGTCAGACTTCTACAGAAACTTCCAGAAAGAGATACAGATAAAGCCATTACATCAGTAATGGGTAGATCTCTGTGAGGTTGCTTTCCTGCAACATAAGAAGAGAGGCAGCAGCACTTGTGGCAAGAACCCAGACACTGTCAGTGCTGTGGAAATGCTTTGCTTGGGGTGAAAACCCTGGGTGACCCTGGGCATCAGGAACCTGCTCGGGTCTCTCTGCTGTCCATGTGTGAGTTGTGCAGCAGCAAGGCTGAGTGTGAGGACAGCTTTTCCTCCTTCTCCCAGGCAAATCCACAGCATTGACAGCTGCTGTCATTGCCATACAGAGATGATAGATGGCCTGCAAGTACATTGCATCGAGGTGTAAAGATTTACCCTTTCATACAAACTGAAGAAAATAAAAAGCTTCAGGGCTCGGTGGTGAAGGACAAAATAGGAATGTGGTTTTATTGATGTCTGGAGAAGGGCTGAGCTCTTTGTTTTGTTGACCAGTCAAGTGCTTTCATAATGGACTGGTGTTATTCCTTCCAGTTTGGTTTTGAACTTCAAAAGAGCACAAAATCTTTAAACAAACAGCAGCTGCAGTGGCACCCTGGAGAGTAGCTGGGGTTCTGTCAGCCCAAATGTTTGTTGTTTTTTTGCTGTAGCGACGTCAGACAACATGGGTTGCTGACCATTGATTCACTGCAGGAAGCAGCTAAAAAAAAATCTCAGTTCTTTTAGTTCCCACCCCTTCCCCCCAGTTTTACATTACCCCAGTTTTATCCCCCCCACAATTTTACCTTACCCCGCTGTGCTGGGTGAGGGTGATGAGCTGTGCTTTATGCCACTAACTTCAACTCAGTTCTTCCATCCTCATCCTCATCCTCACCAGTGGAACCATGGCCTGGAGGAGAACACGATTAGCTGGACAGTAATTAGTTTTAGATTTGCGTGTTTCAGCTGCAAACACAAGTTGCATGTGCTGAACAGTTGTGCAGGTTAGTTTTCTGACTGTTTGGTGTGATAGCATTTATTTGTGATGGGGTTTAAAAAAAATCTCTTCCAAAGAGGTGGAATTATATTTAGGAAAGGGAGCATTTTTAAAATAGTGGCTTGCAGGATATTATATTTTAATCTGTCTCCCCAGCTGCATGTCACATCTAGGTCTGTCCTTCTGAGTACTAATCCATGCTGGAATTTGTTCCCTTTTGAGGTGGTAGGAATTCTGGCATCAACTTCCATGGTGACATGCTTTCATTTCTTCAGCAAGACTAGTGATGACAGTATAGCCATCTAACATAAAATTAAATGTGATGTAATATTAATGTAGAAGGGACTAAGTCCTACAACTAGAAATAGTGGAGATTAGGTTCTTGGTGAATTGTGACTGAGAAGTGAAATTTAGTTTAATATTATTTCACAGTTTGATTATGTCAGGGTATGCTGGTGGATGTATTGCTTCTTTAAAACCCAACTGATGTCTGTGCAAAGAGGTCTGACAGTTAAAGAAACCTGGAGGCTTAGACAAGAAAGAAAAGCAATAGAGAATAAAAAAATAGCAGAAATAAATCCGTCTGCTATGAGTCATAGCTAGCCTGAGAGGATTTTTAGTTAAACTCTGCTGGGAGAATTAATATTTTATCTGTGTTTTGTGCTAAACTCATTAATGAAGTCATTCTTTCTTTGGTGAAATCAGAATAACTTCTGTCTGTAGTAACCATTTGTGATGTCAGAAGTAGTAATGAGTTGAAGTGAGGAACACACAGAGTGAAGATACACATGGAAAGGTATATCATTTACAGGTGTAATTTTGAGGTTGAAACAGAGTGAGAAAGGAATATTGAGACAGGCACACTTGATCCTCTGCTTTAACTTTTTAAATTTTTGCTAACTCCTAAAGTAGTAGCTAAATAAGATTTCAGGACCTGGACTTGTTGGCTTTCTAACAAGTGTTTCAAGGTGCCAGCTCAAGTGAACGTGTCTGTGAATTTGCTCTCCTGTTCTTTTGATAATACATTCTGAAAACATGATGCAAAAAATCTGATCACGGCTGAAACAGAGTATTCTTTTCAGAGGAGCATCCAGAGATAACACAAACAGAGATGCTTGTATATTTTAACAAGTGTGTACATTTAAATGTGGATGTTTTGATTCCCCTGTTTCACAGTAAAGCCCCTAATTCAAGTGAATTATTTGAGCAGAAACTGTTTTTTCTCTTTACAAAACATGCCCAAATAAGGTGCTGGTCAAAAATCCTAAGAATGATGCAAAGTTTATCCAACACGTACTGCAGTCACTGATTCCTGCCTGTTTGTACCTGGAAAGGTAATGGATATGCTCCATGCCATGGGACCAGAGACTGTGGTGATCACAAGCTCAGATCTGCAGGCACCCCTGGGAAATGACTACTTAATTGCTCTGGGAAGCCACAGAAAAAGTAAGTCTTGAGCTCCTCCTTTGACTGTGCTTTCTTTTAACTTGTCTCTGCTTTCAGTTAGTTCTTGAAGAAGTAGTTTCATCACACCCATCTGTAGTGCATGGAAGGAGCGTAGATCCCTAAGGGAACAACTTTTCCTACAGTAATATCAAGGGGTGGTGAGGCTGGGGCTGCTCCATGGGGGAAGACAACCTGGGAGCTGAGTGTGATCCATAGCACAGGCAGAACAGCCACAAGACTCAGACCCACTGTGTCTGAATGAGGGGAGCAGGATGGGTCCCATCATCAGAAGAAGGTGAGACAAGCCAGGTCTGAGATTAATCTGGAAAATCCAATTATTAAGGCAGGACAGCAGGGCTGAACACAGGAATACCTCCAGCATAACTCAGGCAAGGGTGCTTGTGCCCGAGCCTGAGCTTCTCTGCAGCTTCTGGGCAGAGGGTGCATGGTGAGGGGTGTCCTGGGCGAGTTTCAAGGGTTCTTACAGCCCCTAGTATTGGCCCTGAGAGTAGTGGTGGTATAAAACAGGAACTTGGAATGTTTTGAATAATTTTCTGAAATATTACACTGTCCTGTTAGCAGATTGTTCCTCCCTTGATAGGTTATAAAATATCCTTCTGTTTCTTCTGTATATCCCCTTTTGTTCCATCACCAAGATTCACTGTGTTTCAGACTGTCACATAGTGTTTCCACCTGCGAAGGGCACAGTTATGAGGAATGAAAAATGAAAGTGCTGTCTACCTCCTCCCTCTTAAATGAAGTATGAAGAGTATATAAGTTGTAAATGCTACCCCAAGTTGGCCAAGTTTTGGCCTCTCTTTGAAAGTACAAGGTTTACAATACTCCCTTAGCAGCTTTACATTCCAAACAACAGAAGAATTCAAATCTGGTGATCACTTTTAAAAGGATTTCTTTTTAATTTCTAGTAAATGCTATTGTGTTAGTTGCTGGGTCTGTTACTAAATGGTCTATTTGTGTTACAGCTAAAGCAGATGGTACCAGGATAACACAAAGAATTCGAATGGAGTCTCCTAAAGTGGATGCTGTCTTTGTTGGAACAGGAGACCTGTTTGCTGCTATGCTTCTGGCATGGACACACAAGCATCCAAACAATTTGAAGGTGTGGGAGAAGTTACCTCTCTGCAAGTTTAGACTATGTTTCTTCTGGGTTTTTTATGGCTTTTAATCTGTGACATTGTTTAAAGACTGTTTTGGCTTTTTTTCCTCACCTCAGAGGAAAAAAAACCCCAGAATTTCCTTTTTGCCAAAAGGAGCGTTGAACAGTCACCTTTGCAGTTCAGTTGGATTGATTTTGTAATTTTGCCAAATAAGATGATGCTCTCCCTAGAGAGAGAGACTGCATACATGTTTGTAATTACATTTTTTTTATCCTCATGTCATAATAAGCACTGAAAGTAATTTCTTAGATCTGTTTTTCTGTGTCTTTCCCTCAAGGATATAGAGTCCTCAATATGGGTATATGATTTCTAATACCAGTTTTGGGAGAATTAGCTCTGTTGGTTAGAGAATTAAGTAAAAAACATTTTTTCCCCAAACTCTACATTACATAGTTGTCATCCTGCTCGTGTCATCAGTCATGTTTGCCTTTTAATAGCCATGTTTTTGAAGTAATAGTAATATTAAACTAGGCAACTGAAGTTTTACTGAAACCTGAATTTATTATGTTGATGCAGGTGGCGTGTGAAAAGACCGTGTCAGCCATGCAGCACGTTCTGCAAAGGACCATTAAGAGTGCAAAAGGTAATTCCTTCAGACCCTTGTTCCCGTGTTCTGTCTGCATTTGCATCAGCAGAAACATCCAGAGAGCTTTGTGGGTTCCCTGAATAACGGCAGCTCTCAGTGCCGAGGCAGCAGGACGAGAGCTTGTTAAGTCTTGTCTGCATGTTCCTTACTGTGTCCTCCAAGCCTGTCTTTGACAGCAGCCGACTGCAGATGTCACTGTTTAGCTTGTAGTGGGACCACAGTCGTGCTGACTGTGCTTGACTCAGCTCTGCAAAACAGTAGCAGAAGAATGCGAGGAAATGCCAAGTTTGATGTGCAGGAGAGCTTCTGTTCTCAGTGTAGCTCACTCACTTTCCCCTGGAGTGTGTATTTAGTCCTGAGAGGGGTTTATCAACAAATAATTTCTGGCCCTGTGAGGAGGGATTTTTTTTCAGCTTCTATCCTCTTGGAATTCCCGTGTCTTTCAATTTTTAAGGAAATCCAGATGGGATCTCTGGGTTCTCAGAGCATGTCTGTGTGACCTTTCTCATTAACAACAGAGCCGTATTTCTTTCCTGGAGAGAGGTACAGAACAGGGGTGATAAGAAATCACAGTGCTGACCTGGATCTTGTACCTTGGAAGACTTTAGCAGGGGGTTGTAAGGGAGATTGGGGAAGGGAGGAAAGTAGAGAAAACCATGGGATTACAGAAACATGCAACTTGTTTCTTTTTATATTTCTGTTTCTAATGACATTCTGATGTCATCTTTTTAGCACAAGCTGGCGAAGGAAACAAACCAAACTCAGCCCAGCTGGAACTGAGAATGGTCCAAAGCAAAAAGGACATAGAAAACCCAGAGATCATAGTGAAAGCCACCGTGTTATAAAGGCTGTACGTCTCCAATAACGCACAATGTATTGATGTCCTCATTTCTTTCCTGTAAATTGTAATATTTGCCTTAGATCTGTGACAGAAACCTGACTTTCATGAAATAGTGCCCAGCATAGGCAGATATCCACTCTCAAACATATGTGCTGGCCTTGCTCAGTTTAAAAAACAAAACAGTTAGTGTGCATTTGAGCATATTCCAGGTACCAAAATGGCTGTCGGATTCACTTAGTCTGTGTAATCACCCAGGGCAAGAGAGAACAGTGTTCCTGCCTTGCCAAAGACTTTAGATGTGAATTTGCTAATGGAATGCTTGACTGACTGGAAAATGTATTTCAAGGTGGCATCTAGTGCCAACGGAGCTGGCTCCATGCTCCCTTCTCCTGGAGATGCCTGGTTACCTCCTCGAGTATTCAGTATCTCAGCTGCTGCGAAACTAAGCAGGGTTAAAGCTACACACAAAAGTTCTGGTTGTGTGTAGGAGTACTTTGAAGATGTTTGGCATGTTCACTACTCTGAAGTGACCTTGAGGTGTCATTCATGTCACTGATTTCTGCTCCTGCTTCTTGTCTGTAAACAAACACACAGTTTGGGACTGGCTGCTTATTTCTCATGTCCGTGGGTACCCACACGATTTTCTTCCAAAAGCTGCTCCAGAAACACCTTCATTGATAAGATAATACTTTTATTCAGTATTCGCTGATTAGAAGTTTGTAGTTCTACCTCCAAGGCCAGGTTTGATTCTGTGTTTTTTTTTAACTAAGGACAAACATTCTGTTAAGGACAAAAGAGAAAGCAGCTCTTACTCTGAAAGGTGCCTGCCCTGGTTTGTACTTAAAAACTACATAGAGCACTTCCGCTTAACAATAGTAAGCACTGTAGACAGGCTTATCAATGAAGCAATGTGGGTAAAGTATTATTTTTGTTTTAGTGAGTTACATGTGTTTACCAAATGCAGCAAAACATAGAAAATTACCTTGTTCGTAACGTGAGTCTCTGCAGCCAGTTAGAGATGACAGAAATGCATTGTTATTAGTAATGCATCTAAACTTCAAAAATGTTCTTCATAAAGCTTCAAAAATGGGATTCTTAATAATTTCAGTGTCCAATACATCACACCCACATCCTGAACCAGTGGGACAAGGTCTGTATGGGACCCATGTTCTTGATGTCCCAAGACGAGGGAGGTCTAGTGTGCTGTTCACGTTCAGTTGAGGAGCTTTATTTGTCTCAGACTGCGTAATGGGATTAAAATTGCATTTCTGATTGCAGGAACATGAAGAAAACTTTCATTAGAGGAAAATTTTTTCTTGATTACCTGAGTAGGCTTAGGAAACTCACTCTGGGGTGTCCCCAGATACCTTTCCTTCATCTTCCTCCTCACACCTGCCTAACTGATAGACTTCACTTATCCCATCATTTTTATGAATTTCTGCCATTGTAAAAGTTGTTTTCACCTAGTAGAAGACTATTTTATTCATGACGTAAATTTTCAGCTGAATAGGTTTTCTTTCATTGAATAGTTATCCTAATTAATAAGTCTCTGAAATCCCTAATTTTTAATATCTTTGAAGCAAATGAAATCTAAGAGGAATGTGTTTTGCAGCAAGTATAAGAGGCAAACTTCAGGCTTTTGCTCTCAACAACCAATATTATTTCCTCTCATGCATTTGACATAAAAAGGGGAAAAAAATCATATGACTTAAGAGTTTTAAGGGAAAAAAACCCAACAGAAATTATCTACAAAATGTGACTCTACTTCCACTGTTTTTAGTAATCACTGTAATGAAATAACTTTCTAGCAATAATAATTTTGGTGATGCGAACAGTTGCTGAAATTAGCAGTCCTTAACAGAGGTAAGAGCTCCTGGCTAATATGCAACATGTAAAAAGATACAAACTACCTTAACAGAATGCATAAATATTGATGGGAAGCAGTGAAGAAGGAGCCAGGCTCTTCTCAGTGGTGCCCAGCAAAGGGATAACAGGCATTGGGCACAAACTGAAATTCAGGAAAGTCCATTTAAACATTAAAAAAAAATATATAATTGACTATGAGGGTGATCAAACACTGGCACAGGTTGCCCAGAGAAGCTGTGGAGTCTCCATCCTTGGAGATACTCAGTGCTGACTGAACATGGCCCGGAGCTGCACTTGGCCCTGCCTGCACGGGGAGGGTGGACCAGATGGTCTCCAGAGGTCCCTTCCAACCTCAGCCATCCTGTGGTTCTGTGAAGCACAACAAACTGCCTTTCTTTGCAGAGCTGTGTCTTTAAGTTGGTGCAAATACTTCTTTTCTCCCTGCAGCACAAACTTCCAGATGGGCCAGGAAATAGCTCGTATTAATATTTTGCCCCCTTCTCAGATAAGCTGCTGCTTGCTTGGGCAGTTGTGCCAGGAAAACAGTTACTTTTTTCCAGATAATTCCTTTCAGCGAAGATATTTAAATGCTGTAGCTAGTGGTGCATTTCAGCAGTTGAACACTAAAAGGTTTTTAACTGCTTTTAATATTGATTTACCAAGCATTGTGTGCTATACTGCAGACATAACTACGAGCTTATTTATCTTTTACAATCAGACTATTTCATGGGGAAGTGTATAATCCCTACTATCCTCTTGGGAAGAAGGGATCAACATACTGAACTTCCCTACCTGTACATGCCATGGTCAATGCCCTTTCAGTAAGTGTGAGACAGCAGGATTTTATTTTGCCACTGGAATAAATAGACCTTCACAAGAGGATTGAGAGAAAAGCAAGGGCTGTTTCCCTGAAATAAAGAAGCCTGTAATTTAGAAAACTTAAAGCTACCTTGCAAACAAGGTTTTAATTGTAAAGCATAATGAACAGTGATCAGGCCATAAAAGAGAAGGTGATTATGTTTGTTGAAGCAGCTTATACATGTCAGCTGTGATCTTTTCCCACTGCTTCAAAGAATGGATCACTTGCACACCTTCCTTAGAATCTGTGACATATCCATGTTAACAACAACAAAAAAAAGAATATTAATACTAATGCTCAATTTGCAAAATTCGTATTTCACAGTAGCTGGGTCCTGTAGCAATGGGCTGCTGGTTTTGTCTGCTTAAGTCCCTGGGGGTTGCTCATGTGATCACCTGTTTTAAACTCCTGCTGACCTGGTCTAAATTAGGTCAGGTTAGGTCTTCAGTGAAGAATTGGGCTTAACGTCACTTGCCAGGAACAAACATCAGAAATGATCTGTAAATATATTCTGTAGCTAACACTGTGTAGCCAGGGCAGTCTAACAGTTATTTTTAAATGCCAAGGTATTTACTTACACACTTAATACTTGGACGCATTTTTATTTGTTCAGGGTTGCACGGAGCTTGTGTGCAGAACAAAATTTCAGAGACCCAGCACAGTCCTGTCCAATGTTTTGTTCCCTCCTCTCCTCCTGCACATAATACCTGTATCTTTTTCTGAGTTCCTGCTGTCTGTCTGGTGCAGCTGGAAAGTGTCTCAGTATCAGACAGCTGCCCACTATTTATTTAAGGGCTCGGGGGAGACTTTTCAGGGTTGTCTGATCCGTTTGCAAACCTCTAGTTAAAGATAAAAGGTTAATCTGAACTAGCCTAGCTCCTAATCGATGACAGAACAAGCACTTTAGCCCAGAGAGTGGAATCTGTAACTAATGGATAATCTTCCATGGCCGTCCTAAGAGCATGAAAGGTGTCTGTAACCCAGAGTCCAGCACCCAGCTGTTCGGGACCCGTGACCTCACGTGTCCGTGTGAGGTCGGTGGCACAGGACACTCCTCGTGCTGCAGCTCGTCCGAGCATGGAAGAGGTGAATTCCTTGTGTTTGCATCCGGCCGACTTCTTTAGTTCTGCTTACTGGAACTAATTTTGTGTTGGGTCCCTCCTTTTTTTTCCCTGGAATGGTTCACAGTGTGTGTGTGCTCAGCCATTTCAATTGCTCCAAGCGCACTCACTTCATTTGCGGACCCCTTATGCAGGAGAGACCAAAAGTTGTTTACAAACCCATCTACTCTGTCCTGGGCCAGGATTGGTCTCCACGTGAAAGTTCCCATGTGCATAAAGACGTTGTGCTGAAATCAATGTTGTTCCCACTCGATACAAACACCTTAAGAAATCTGCAGTGTGAATTGTTAGTGTTTCTTTGCTGATTTTTATCGTAAGAGGGGAGAATTCTATGATTAATGTGTTAAACAAAAGAATCAGAGGACCAAGGTTTCCAGCTACTCATACTGCCTTTTGAGTATCTTAACTGTGTCTTGATTGGATGGTGTTAATTTGTTGTCTGAGACTGTTATGGTGATTGTATTGATTGATTTTACTTTAAAATATGTGTCAAGGAAGATTGTAATAAAAGCATCTACGTTTAATATACTGTGCACACACAAATTGTTAGATCCTGTTTTTAGATAATGTTAATTGTTTCAGAATCAAACAGCACAAGAATGGTTTTATAGTCTTGCTGAATAAAGTGGATGTAATTAAATATTTCCCTAGTTATGTCCTAGTATAGAGGTAGGGTAGTTAATGGAAGAGCACACATTTGTGCCCTGCAATCATCTTACTGTAAGATATGGACGTGGAAGTGAGTAACATCCTTGTTGTCTTAATTTTTATTTTTTTTTTTAAAGTTTCATGGGAAGACAGCTACCGGCATTCTGCACCACTCTCTTGCATTCCTCTTGCTTGCATGTGTAGGAACTCATGGTGTTGTGCTCTTTATTCCTGCAAGCAAGGTGAGAAGAGGGCCTTGGAGAAAGAACCATAACTCATTTTGAGATCTGTTTCTTGTACGGAATTTAGCTGCACTCCCCTTCACTGAATTTTTACCTCACTATGTGGATTAGAGCATACAGGACTGTACAGTGGGAAGCAATTGCTCCTCATGTGGGAATAAGTGCTTCTGTCAGCACTCAGCAGTGTCCCTGCAAGAGGGAGAGAGCAGGGATCCAGGTTAGGGAGAGCACTGACCATTGGAGAGGGTGCTGTGTCATTACACTTAGCTCCACTGGAGAATTTTGGCTTGTATTTATACTAAATAACCACCCCTCCTGAGTAAAGGTCTTTGCCCAGTTAAAGAGCACTTTTAAAGGCTGAGACGTGTTACAAAGTCTGGTCATTCTGGTACTGAAATATTCCTTTAAAAATGAAAACACAGCCCCTTCTTTTATATCCCATTGCATTCTTACTGGCTTAGTGACCTGTTAGAATGCCAGGATAAGATATTCAGAGCTGTACTTTCTTCATGAAAGACGTTTGCTTCTGGTGAGAGGCTGCTGAACAGTTCTGTAGCTTTCTAAAACACTTCCATTCAAGACATATATCAAAGCTCTGAGATGTTCAATCACAGCCCCAACTCTTCTCTTTTAAATGAATGAGTAAACCAGCGAGTTTACACCTGCATGCAGGAGCAGATTTCAGGTAAATCCATGAGGTTCAATCAGACACTGCAGGAAGGGCACTGAATGCAAGGGAGCTGCTATTTTGTCTGCAAGGTTTCAGTGGAGACCAAGCGAGTTCTCACCATTTTCCAGAAGGCAGGAACGTGGTGTGGCATTCCAACAGCCAGGGAAGGCTCCCCTCTGCCTCACCAGGAAACCAGTGCCACCAGTTTGGTGCTTTTACTGCTCCAGCAGCAGTGGGCCTGGAGGCAAACGGGATACTCCTAAATGTTCATGCATTCCTGACTTAGTGCCTCCACAGTGCAAATAAAGGTAATAAACCCCCAGTTTGCAGAGCAGTGAATAAGGCAGCACATTATTCAGAGAGAGAGAAAACCAGCAATATGAGAAGGCTGTGCCATATGTTACCACTGAAATCACTCTTACCTATTGCCCTCGTGGTTGCATTGCTGTTTAGAAAAACTCTGTGTGTAGAAGAGTGTAATATATGTAGTCTGTGTGTGTGTGTGTGTGTGTGTATGTGTGTGTGTGTGTGTGTATGTTGAAGCTTTATTTGCAATGTGGTTAGGGGTGGGAAACAGAATTTTTGGGGGGCTGGCTGAGTAGGCCTTCAGGATGTGAGCAGAAGGTCTTAAAGAGATATATTTTTATAGATTGTGCTGAAGCTTTGGGTCCCAGCCACACGTAGCCTTTTCTTCCAGAGAAGTAAAATGGTTTGGAAATAAAAGTCAGGTGGCTGTAATATAGTAGGGATAGTACAACCCCACCAGCCCTGGACAAACTGAATAACTTAATAAAAGATGCCTTTTTAAGTAATATTTTTTTAGTGCTGAATTGTTAAACAAAGAAATATTTATGAGCAAACTTTCTATGTAACTTCAAGTTTGTGTGGTGCTTTGTACTGACTAGGTGGACCTGTTATATGTTTACACATCTTAATGATTGTCCTCGAGGCGTTATGTAGTAATTCAATGACTTTTATGCCAGAAAAACAATGAAGTTCTGTGTAATATAGCAAATGATTTAATTTCTAATGAAATTGTAGGCTTTTTAGTGTTTGTGTACTTTTCTGGTTGGCAATTATGAGTTGTATCCCTCTTGCAGTGAGGCTTGTACGCTTGATTGTAGAGAGAGGCAATAGGATGGTAGATACCATTGTTTATAAAGAAAACCCTAAATATTGCTACCTTATCCATTTTAAAAATCAGGTGAGCTTTGTGGCGTAAGCCTGAAATTTAGATTTTTGCATTGGAATGAAGTCTCAAATACATCTGTGATGGGTTAAAAACTGGTGATGGATTTGTGTAGTTAATTAAATAAGACTAGGAGGTCTTCAAATATTTAATAAATGTACAAGTCAGGAGACTGGAACAAAATTGGCTCGTTCCCATTATATGAACCTGACTGAGCTAACTCACAGCTTGTGCTGGACGTGTGCACAGACAGATGAGTAGCCTAAAGGGGAGAAAGTAAAGATTTTTTTTCCTTGTGGTTTAATGTGAAGAACTGTAGTTGGGTCATCTGAATTCAAATTCGTAAATACCTTTCAGAAGAGCTGAGTTACCGATAAAATCGCATTCGGTCAAAAGGCAAAGCTCTTCGTGTGGTTCAAAACCAGAACGTGATTTTTTATATCTTGCTGGACTTAAATGAGTCTTTGTTTTCTTATGGCTGGCAGACACAGGGCTAAAGCACAACTCTCCAGATATATTTATCTTTTTGGTCTCCCTAGAAAGTGCAAGGTCTGCAACATAAAGGAGTTTTCTGAGCACGGCCCTCTTCTAAATGTTATTAGTTGGTGATCTGGGAAAACTGAGCATCACTTACTATGTCCCTTTTAAGAAACATGGCAGCATCCTCACCACCCTTCTGAAAAAATCACTACTGCAAAAAAGTAGAAGAGAATTTATCACAAGTTTTTCTCTCAAGAGTTCCCGAATTCTGAGAGGTACTTCTGCTTTGCTAAGTCAGCAGGAAAAACGATACCAAGGATGAATAATATATCATAGAGGGAGGCTGTGGCAGGGAACAGCTCTGTTGTGTGTGCTTCACTGTGCCTGGCTGTTCCTCCCGTGGGAATCTGGGGGTGCAGGATCCCTGTGGTGGTGGTGGCAGAGCGATTATTTGCCTGCATCCTTCCTCGGGGGAAATGTGGAGGAGTTTATTCCGAGATGAGGCTGGTGTGAAGTTGTTGGGCTGGTTGTTTCACAGGGCTGTACCAAAGCTGTGCTTGAGCACAGCTCTGTGTGCACTCTTGAGATGCTGCTTTCCTGGCCGTGGTGTAATCTCCTTAGACTTCTTCTGTAGGCCATGGAGAACCAAGGGGCTCTGAAAGTGCATAATTCAGATTATTCAGGCTAGGTTCTTGTTTTGAAGAAGAGAAAGGTAGAGAATTACCAGCTGCTGTGATAGATCTAACTTACCCAGCTCATCTACACCCTGAAACTGTGCCCTAACCTTCCTCTGCCATCACCTGTCCTGGCCTTGGTATTTGCCTGTACCCATAACAAGGGAAGCGAAAGAGCCAAAACCAATGGAGAATTTATCCAGTCAAAACCCTTGAGGTTTTAATCTCCTTTAGTTCTTTCAACCTTCTCATCCTGGGAACAGATAAGTGCTTGTGCTGCTGCTGGAGAGGCGCTGGGACGATGCAGCTGCTCAAAATGGGGGAGAGTGGGGTCGCCTCTTTTCCCTGGCAGTGAGGTGCTGGGTAAGCAGGGCCTAACTGCAGAGCTGCACTGCTCATGGGAAAGAAAAGGAATCTTTGTGAGCTAAGTACTTGAAAGAAGAGCTGCAGATTTAATAGTTTGGTGTTCTCAATCCAGCCCCATTCTTCCCTGTATGGCAAAAACGTGATAGCACTAGAAGATTTGGTGTGGCTGTTCTTAATGACCTGTGTGATGCTTGTGCCCAGCAGAGTAGAAAATGGCATTGAAGAAACCAGTGCTCTAACTAGGAAATATTGTAGGAGGATCCAGGTGGAGAAAGTTTCAAGTCTGCTTTCACAGCACTTGCACGGTGTCAGAGTTATCCAGGTCTGGCTGTTAAATTTCTTTAGGTAAAGAAGAAATCACATTAATAAGTCAGTAGATAAATTTAGTATTTATTTTTGTCTGGAGATGTTTAAATCTTTCCACACCAAAGGTCTCTGGCTCATAAGGGATTTTCAGAAGATGCCTTGCCAAGTGGGGTGACAGAGCCTGTCACAGCTGCCTGGGGGCACAGCAGGCTTCTTGTGACACACCGGTGACAGATGGCACTGGGGTGCCACCTGCAGAGGGGCACTGCTGGCCCTGCATTTGGTACAGCACATGTATTCACCTGATTAATAGGTGAATTCCTGTGTGTGAATACCTGCTTTGCCAGGGAAGGAACTGTAGGGCTTGCTGCTTGCTGGAGCTGCAGTGATGGAAGGAAACACTGGAGAATTCAGCACCACCCAGTGATCTTGCCATTTGCTGTTAAGTGTTTGTTGGTGCAATGTATCCCTTTCAGTCTTGTTTTCTTTCTGGAAGATGGGAGGATGACAGCCTGCGTGCTGTTTTAATGTGCTTTTAGCTGGCTGAATGTGAAACAAAAATCAAGATTGTTAAAAATGGAGGGGAGTGATAGCTGTGAATTTGCCTAGGACCTAGGTGAGTAGAGAAACTCTGAGATTTGTCTCTAATTCAGAAATAATTCAGTATTGACCAAAGGAGTGCCATGTCTTCAATGGGCAGTGGCACCTGGAAGAGGCCAATATTTAGGGTTTTTGCCCAAAGCACATTTAGCCCTGCTCTACTGTTTAGTGAAAATGCCCAGTGCAGATGCCACCAGAGCCTCATCTCGTGGAGTAATGCTGTAATAAAGAATGTGGTTTTCTTGTGCAAGTCTTAACCTCTTCTTATGAAAATAACACACAACTCAGTATTTTCATGGTGTATAAGTGAAATGTAATTTTTTTTTTTCAATAAAATACATTTCCTTTCCTAAACGTATGTCTGTTTGGTTTTTTCCCCTTAGTGATGTTTCAGCTCTAATTGAGCTTTGGCCTTTTGTGTCTCCTCCTTACATGTGTAAACCACAGCTCTGTACTCTTCCTAAGAAGCCTGACCTCATTTCCAGAGATCATACAATTTCTTTTTCCTCTTGAGCTCCACAAGACTTCCCTGTTCAGCCAATCTGGCCTGCTCCATGTGCTTGACTCAAAACACAGTGGAATCACCCGCTCCTGTGCTTCTAAAAGTTGATTCTTAAAGCCTGACCAGCAGTTGTGGACTCCCTAAGCGCTCAAAAGCAGGTTCTTAGAGTACTCTTATTATAAACAGCTCCCTGAATAGCTTAAAATTTGCTCTCCTGAAGTCCAGGGGAGCAACTCTGCTGTCCTTTTTTCCTCATTACACTGAAAATTTTATACTCAACGTTGCACGATTGCTGTGGCCAAGGCAGCCACCTACCATCACATTCCACACAAAGTCCTCCTCCGTCCACAAACAGCAAGCTAAGGAGCTTCTGGAGTTGTCTCAACTGTCTGTGATAAGAAGTTATGTCCTACAAACCTCAAGAATTTCCGAGAGAGCTGCTCATCTCAGCAGTGTGATATTCCAAGCTGATGTCTGGGAAGTTGAAATCTTCCACAGAGATGAGGTTTATTAGTCCAGAAGTTTCTCCTAATTGCCCACTTTATTGCGGGTTTTAATATGAATATATGAAAGTACAACTTTAATAGAGTACCTTGGCAGGGTTGACTCTATCACTGACTACGTGGATGAAGCACACATAAGAAAATCAGATTAGAATCAATTTAGGATGATTTCCACAGAGATGCAAAAGGGCAAAGGATATGGATACAAAAATATACTGGAGAAGACGGGTTGAGCAGCACTTAATCATTGACTAATTTAACATTTATGAAGTGATTCAATAGGATTAGCTACAATTATGGCAGTGCCATAATTATAGATTCACAATAACATTCATACCATAATCTATATTTATGTATCTATCTGTATCTATCTATTTATCTACCTCTATATGTGTGTAAAGGTACTTCTCAAAAATTCCCCTTGAGTTCAGGGACACAGGTTGGATCCTTTGGTATTTCTCAACAGGCCTGGATTGCACCTGGAGGAGCGTGGGGGGAGGTGGGTGTCAGCCCAGGCCTTGTCAGTGATGGTCTTTGGAGTACCCAAGTTTGAGGACTGTCAGTCTCCAAGAGACATCTCACTTAGTGGGAGATGCTGGCACAGCTGTCGTGGTCCAGGAGAGCTCAAAGGGCTTCACATTCTTTGTGGGGTCACAGAGTGATTTGACTTCAGTCACCAGTAAGTTTCCAACCCCAGATCGGTAATTACCGGAGTTTCCGAAACATTTGGAACGCGTGTCCCCCCCCAAAAAAAAGAGTGTTCCCTGCAAAAAGTGCGTGCACAGGAGGTCAGTGGGGCAGGCAAGCCTTCCCCTGAGTCAGCTGGCAACCCAGAGAGCTGAGGATCAGGTGGCAAACGCTGCTTTTGCTGCCTCCCGTGCGGGTTTGAATGCTGCTGTCGAGGCACAGAGACAGAGCATCACTCATCATCCGAGTGGTCTGCAGGGGGGGCAGGCGGTGCAGCCGTGACAGGCAGCGAGGGGGAACAAAGGGAAAGGAGGACGAGGCTCAGGAGGCAGGTGTGACTCCGGGGAGTGTTTTTGGATGGAACTCTGCTTCTGAACGGGGGGTTCAACTGCTACAGAAAGGCCACGTTCTGCCTTTGAGCTCTGTGTGTCCTATTCACGCCCCGGGGAGCGCTGGATCAAAGGAGCTGGAGTCCTCACATTCCTGTCCCAGCCACGGACCG